CGATGTTTGACCAAACGAAGATGGAAAATCTTTTTGATATTTCCGTGAGAGGTCGGTATCTACAAACACGCCCTATTCATAACTCATAGCTAACCATCGAATGACTATATTCCTGTATTCTATCTGTGATATGACGAAGTGCACTTCCGAACGTTGTATAACATAGGTTTGTATTTTAAGTGAACCCACTTTCTGTAATTTTTATGTTTTGATATCCCAACAAAGTACTCCTTATAATATAGATACCACTCGGTTTAAGTATGCTTTAACATTATCTTTTCATAATTGCATAGTGGAAGTTTTTCTCTGAAATTTTCTTAATCTCGTACTGCCAATGAATATCTGTATTTGTTTTTCAATTCGACTGCATAGTTATCTTGTCATAATTTCATGGTGAAATATTGCAATGACTAATTTATCAAATCAAAGTAAATTAAGATATTTTAGTACTTTGGTCGCCTCCTAAAATTACCAAATAAGACCTTTAGCATCACTGACGTGTCCTAGGAGGAGGAAACAGCTGTATGGTGGAGCTTAATTAATTGATTGGTCCTTACTCTAAATTTGTATTCAAATGTGCTATTCACTCACTTATCTATTGTCAATTTTTTTCATTCGACTAGGTCACGGTTCAGAATATTTACATGTAGCTATTCTTCATTCGATATTATCAGATCAATATATTGAATTATAGGGCTAGTACATCTACTCGTATGGACTTTTCCTTCGATCCTTTTCTCAGTCGCCTCTTACGTTTGGAGAAATAACCCCTTATCATCATGAAGGAGTCTAAGAGAGGCAGCTGTACGATGGAGCTTAATTCATAATTTAGCTTTACTATATCTATAATTAGATTTGTATTTTAAGATTTTTTATTTACTTGTGTCTTTGCTACAGTAATAAAGCCACATTTTAACATAATTAATCTGACTTTTTCAACGATTACTACACTCCGTGTACTACCTTTCTGAATTCCTAACTGAAGAAGCGTATCAATTATCTGGTGATGATAGCTGCTTTCTGGTTTATTAATTGGTTTTGATATTTTGTATTTTCAAATTCATGGGACATGGCTGAATGTTTCCAATTTCTTTAATGTCACTATTAGATATTTCTGTGTCTTACAGCCTTCTAGACCAGCCTCTTGCCTTGATCCTTTTCTGCAACGCATCAAACATGGTGAAGTGTCCACTAAGCTATAAGATGAGCGCTGTAATTGTGATTTCCCTTTTATGTAATCCCTACCCCTAGATAGCGACTTCTTTGATAGACGGTGCATACATGTCTCAGTACAAACAGGATTTTGGGAGATACAGGTCGATTAAGACTATCGGAATACTTTATTATATCACTGATAAATGCCATATTTCATTTTGCAATAGAAAGTTAATAGTGTTTGAAACATGTTAGTCTGCCTAGTGAAAACTGTGTATTCATTTGAGAACATGTCCTTATTGACTTCGATTGATCAAGATATATTTTAGTCGATGAAGTGGAAGACGGTAACCATTCCAGAAAACTTATTATTTTACTTTAAGAGATACGTATATATTATACTTTTAAACATCGCCCTACTAAAAGCGTATGAAGTCATCACAGTCTGGTAATATGAAATATAGAAGACAATTAAATTGGCATGCTTATCATCGTTCTTCTCACAAAATATTTCCCCAGATTGATCTACTCAGGTGTTTCCTTTTAAAAGATTAATCAGTTAGGTCTATTTAGCATGTTTTAAGCGACAGAATATGTATCGTGCAACCGTGTTAAGTCTTTTCCTTCTCCAGTGTTATCTCTGAACACAGTCTTTATATGACCTTGTTCGTTTCAAGGACATTTGTTGAAGAAAACAAACTAATAATTGTTAATTCAAAAATCAAGATGACACGCCCTTTATGTGACAATTAAAAAAACAAAGGGATACGTCCTTTACACTATATATCGGGATATATGCCTGTCATAGCAAAAACAAAGAAAATACCAACATATCAACAGAATCTTAATTCAAATCCTAATTCAATGAAACTAGGACAAAATATGTCAAGTGAAAGATCCACTCAGAAAATAATAAACAATGTACAAGGAGAATGAGACCAGGTGTTCTGGAAGAATAAGCGTCTTCTGCTCCATCAACGGCACTCGCCATGCAAATGCTTGTCTATCTAAGTACGTAATGTCACGTTCTCTAAAGAGAACAACGAAATCACCAAGCATGTTTACAAGAATCAAGCATGTCCAATTTCAGGAAAGTAGAATATTTCTCAAAGAGACTTTATGACAGCTATGAAATTTCTCCGTTATTATCATCAACTTGCGTCTTTCGGAACTCTCTGTAATGAGTTTTTCTGTCAGTTGCTGACACCTTGCATGGATTTTTAAAAAATGGAATCAACTGTGACATGTAAACACCACAAGTTTATGATGTATGGATGTTGTTTCACTTCCTCACAGCACGGCCAATCTTCAAAGGAGGTGCACAGATGTTTGCTGTTTAAAAGTAAGAACAGTGAAATATAATTTACGAACGTAAACCACGTAATCGAAAAGAAATGCTTTACGACTCTATTCTCTTTCAAGTCCCTTCACACTTGTAACTCTATCAAAATATATTGCAAAATGCTTCAAGTACAAATGATGATGTGTGGCATTTAGTAACTAAATTCTATCAGTAAAAGCGTTTAAAATCTGCGTTGATTACCTTTGTTTGAAATTGTATTCATAACGTATGCATGACATAGCAATGCTTTTTTTGTTGGAGCTGGTGTATGCGAAACGGAATAATTTAAATGCTGATAACTAAGACGTGTTCGATGTATGTAAGTTCCAGGTTTGACAGTGCCTGTAGAAATGATAGTATTTTTCGGAAGATTGTATGCTGTAGAAAATTAAACTGAGACATGCTTTGTAATTATAATCACGAGTTTAATTCTCTGTGCCAAGATTGTTGATGTATCGTCGAAATTTTAAGGAAGACTAATTTTGAACTGTGGTACTCGAAACTACATAAGATAATACCACCTTTCACAACAAATCTAAGATCAGATTAAAACCAAACCAACCGATAAATTACACAGTATCGTGTAGATATTTCGTCCTTCTAGCATTCGTCATTAATGCTAGGGGTTTAAAGTTTCAAACTCTTGGAGGTAATGATAAGAAATGTAATCGTATTTTGTGAAATGCGACTTTGCTAGTAAAATGTGATGGTAAGTTCTTCCAACAGACCATTGATTGTCTATATGTAAATGTGTCCCTCTCTTAAATGACTTGCTTTTGTGTCCACACAAGGCTGAATTTATCAAAGAGCTTATCAAAACAGGTCAAAAAGACCTTACAAAGTCTTTCATGTTCACTTTCAAATGTGTTGATGACATCTTGTCTTTAAGTAACAAGAAATCCATTGACCATTGTATGTTTTTAATCGGAAGTGGAAATCAAGGACACAACAGACATCATTCGCTTATCTCAATATATTCATACAACAAAACCAACATATTTGAGTTACTCTTTTGCGAATTTTGTATTTTTGAATGGCAACAACCAGCATCTCTAGCATATAGTGTTTATCTGTCGCAGGTAATGCGATAACCAAGGACCTGTACCCAATATCACAATTGTCGTGTAAGATGAAGGCGACTGACAGACTAACTCTCATCTTGAAGCCTTGTTCTCATTTGAGAACTTGTCATAACGTCCTTGATTGACCCGGCTTTACGTCGCGGGTGTCATTGATGAAGCAGAACACACTTACTCTTCCGGTCTTATTGTATTTGTACTTTTCAGTCTCCTCTGAGCAAATCTTCCTGTCGTAGTTTTCTGCCTCTTTTATGTCATCTCCGTAGATATGTGCGCAATAAATGTAGGAATGAATCTGTTTGTGCGATATGAGGCCGGACATATTTGATGTTCGTTAATGTGCCTGTTGGTTGCGTTGTTGTATGCCTTATTCTCATTTGAGAACACCACATTTCCGACTTGGATTGACCAATATCTACATGGCGGGTGTCGTCGATGAAGTTACTCTTCATCTTGTGTTATTCTCTTTGCGGTTTTTAGGAGTCTATGTATAATTCTGTTGTTCATATTTTATTGAATATGAGTTTGGATTATGCTTATGTTGACGATGTAGACATGTTGGGGTTTTTATTACTATTTTTATGCAAATTGAAGTCAAGGCCACACATTAACGTCGATCATAAAGCATATGTTATGTTTGAAGTTCCTAATTGAATTGCTAGTTAGTAAGAACTCTTGCATTACTATCATGTTCGCATGGACGGTTAAAATGTAACTCTTGCATCAAAGCTTAATTTCTTACATCCTTTTTATATTCCAATAACGTTTGATGTACTATCAAGGTTGGTTCCGATTTCGTTTTTATGTCTGGTAGAATCGTTGCACTGAATATCTGCGTAGTGAATTATGAAATTTTTGCCATTATTTATAAGTTAACCATCACAAGGCCCAAACCTTTGAAGTTAAAACACGTGTTTAGGAATGACAAGAGGAGATGCTTCTTGTTTTCGTCAAAATATACCATGTTAACACCTAATGCAAGGTTTTTGGACGTACTTGATAATCCAAGGACCATAGCAATACCACTTTGATGTTCATATCACATAAACATTTGATTGCATTTATCAATTTTCATCTAGATATGTTTTTACACATTTATACTGTCCCTAATCTAATTTAATATATATATATATATATATATATATAACGGCTCATAAGGCGTTGCCTCAATTTTGGTGTTTTAGAGTTTGGAGTTTTGTGTCATCAAACAATAAAGACCAAATAAGGAATATACCCACAGATGAATCGATTAATTAAGTATCATCAAGTGCAGTCGTACGAAAATATAAAACTCTGGACATGTATGTGTGACATGATATATTCCCTGACTTTATAAGATTAAAGTACTGAAACTACTCCATGTAAAAGTATACAATAAGCATATTTCAAATATATCAATATAATCGTTTTTTATTCTTTTCCAGGTATGGGATGGCTGTTGCCCAGAATCATACATATGCGGTATTCCCATATATCAGGTATGTCAATTTTACTTAGCCAAGCCTATTATTTTCCTACAGCCATTCTGTTCCCTTAACAACTACAAAATCTACATTGTTTACAATTGCTTTGTTACCAGCAGGACGCTCCACAGGTTAGCAAGATAGTTTACATGAAATAGACATTCTCCCGCGCGAGCTACATTAGTATTCAACGCATGTATGTATGCATGTCAATTAGCTTCCATTCGGCAAATGTTTATACTAGTATGACCTATAAACGAATTAGTGTACTATTTTCCACGTGTAATCACGTTTACTAATATGATTAACAGTTTAATAAAATAAAAAGTAAGAAATCTGGTTAAAGAGTGATTATAATATTTTCCACGTGCAATCATACAGATATGATTTAAGTACAAAAAATAGATGGAAAATATGACATCAGATTAAAGTTGGTTTTTTTTTCTTCTTATAATTCTAAAGTACTTTCACTTTTATATATGTTGTCACTGTAAAACAACCACAACACTATATCGAAGGGTTGTCAGACAAAACAAAAATGGGACGCGAGTTTTACCAGATTATAAGGGTCGTTACTGGGATACAATTGTAAAATTGATGGTAAATGGCGGCTGGCATCATGACGTGAGACTGGAGTCCCACCGGTCAGCGAATAATGCACGCAGTCACGCCATTATACAACGTAAAACTGACACGCCACCTATAGGCACGAAATAATTATTTAGTTCAGGAGACATTTATGACAATAAGGTTATTGATAAAATTGTTTCTGATGTATTCATCCGTCACGGGCTAGTATTAAACATCATTTAGGAATTAGGACAGACAGCGGTTCCAAGCTTTACAAATAACATTGGACGTGAGTTACCAACGGGTATTTATGTTGCTCCTTTAAGGAGGTCGTGGTATATATAAAACCTTGTCTGGCGTCGTCTTCACAAATGTGTTTATGATAAAATACTTTTCCACTTTCAAGGTACTCTATAGCATTGAACTATATCTTTAAAATACAGCAAGGCAACTAATTCCTAGAACTCCCTGTAGATTTAATTTTAATCTAATATAGAGAAACTATCGGTCGAATTGGAATTTTGCGCATCATGAATTGGTAACGAATCGCCTTTTCCCGATAACTCATACCAAGATAAAAAAAAAAAAACGTTGTTTAAATTGTCGTCTTAGAATTATTTCGATTGGAGAAATTGTTCTTGAGTAAACACTTTGACAAGGTCGCAGAAAGGATTCTTCAAAACGTGCCCGCCAGTTGATTGGTACTGTTACTGTTCTAGGCATTGAAAACCTTTTAAAAACATGTCGCTAATCCTACATTACATTTACAGTCTTCAATTCTGTTAGGTTTACACATAATCAATATCGTTGTCACAAGTGCCACCGTCGGCGTCTCGTGGATATAAAGTGAAAACTTACACGAAATGCCCCATTGATTTTTAGGAATATGTATGAGTTTTTAATGACTCAGGCGAATGGAAATTGAAAAATGCGACAAGAGGAAAGGACAACCATCATTTACAAAAATGCTAGATACGGTTTTGTTTTTCTTGAAAAATCTTATATATAACAATTATGACACATCTGTGTTAACATCAATCATTTTGTGCTTCCTTGTCATATGCGGATGTAGAATTTATGTCTGTATGCTAGAATCTGTCAACAACATTCCTAAAATAAGTAGAATAACAAATTACAAAATAATCACCTGTGGCAGTAACTTTTGTTTGTTGATCAAAATATGTTTATCGATCCCAACTTTTAAAGTTTGCAATGGGTTAAATTAATTTTTAAAAAACTACTTACAAAAACTACAACAAAAAAGTCGATAAGGTTAACTTTTAGCCATCCCAATTACGTTTATAACATGTTCAAGATGTTTAAACACACACAAATTAGTAGTACCACAGCAACATACAGCTTTTTCGTCTTTCCAGGACTTCTCTATAATGCTAAAGGGATAGATTTTGAAACCTAGAAGGCGACTGAGGAAAAATCTAAATTGATCGGAAGATGTATCAAAATCTAGTTGGGAAGGTGTACTGACCGCATAATTCATTAAAGTTCTCAATTTTCGTGTTTCTGATAATTTCAAAAACAACTACAGGTACAGTAGTGGCAACGCACAACGCACAAAACACTGCGTGTGCACACCGTGCATAAATCATTGCTTACTATTACGGATTGAAAAATAAACGGAAAATGCGTGTAGTTCTGACTAAATAGCGATTACAGGGATATCCAAATTGATCGGTTAGTAAAAGGTTATACAGGTCATTGTTAAATCAACAGTTATCGAAATAGCACTGGACGCTGCGTTAATTAGTGTTTCGCACCTCAAGGAGAGGCGAATGATGTGCATCGGACAAGGATTTTTTTTTTACAGTTTTAGACAGATGCGGATTCGTACCTGCTAGGTATCTTGTTTAACAAGCAAAACACTTCAGATTATGTATTTTTGTTCTTTAAATGATAGAGGAAAATAAGAGGGATACAGAAGTAATGAAATTAACCTCTAAATTCTGACCGAATGAGATTTCAAAAGATTTGTCACCGAGACAAAACGAAACGTTCATTAAATGCTAAATTATAAAATGGATATATAATGGGTGTCTATACATTAAGACTGGTCACGTGTGCCACATTGTAAACATTATAACAATTCGTTCTGTATCTGATAGATACATATGTCTGACCTACAGATTTAAAGCTTAATTAGGAAATATTGTACTAGTTGTACTATTACATATTAAAAAAGAATCCATACTCCTTACTTATCTATATGTCATTTCTGAATGTATATCGACCACTTTAGAATCGTACATATGTGATATAGAACCGCATAACGGACTCACAGATGTACGATAGCTTATCTTGTCCAGTTTTCCTATCTTGGGAGCATCTCGCACAGACATCGTGCACACATCACACGTCGTGTAACGTTGTGCAATCCTACAATTATTCATGTATATTCTGAACCGTGTTACTATTCAAATCAATCAAAGCGTGGCATGCAGATAACGGCAAACCGCGGGTACTAAAACATCTACCAACAATCGTCTACCTGCAAGCTCCAAGATTGTTCAATAAACGTTCAAGTTGCATGGTAGATTTAGAATCAGACAAATCAGGGTCAAACGATGAATTATGGTGTTTTGTCATTATAGCTCTCTCCACTAATTAATTTACATGATGCAACGATTTATTATGTTTATAATCCTTATAACCGTATCTTTTTCACAATCCTGTTGTTAACTTGTCTATTTTACCACGGTACAACAAAGTATATTGGTTAAATTAGTAACTGTTGTTGGCCCAATCTGAAGCGCGAGGAGTCTTACTGCGGAAGGCACTGTGGCACATGAAAAAAAGAAAAAAAAAACCGAAGTGTTCCTAATTTAATAATTTTTTTAATTTGTTTTGAAAGTTGACAAAAATGTTAACGACTGTATTACAGTATTATGTTTCTGAACATTTTCAGTTATTATCACACTGAACATACCCTATGGACCAGGGTTTGGTTACAGCCATTTGGCCTGCCGTCTATAATTGCTGTGATTGTTGCGTCAATCGTTCATGTTAAATCTAATAATAGGCGATACCTTATTTGTTGCAGTAAGACGGGAACACAAGTACCGGAGAGGGGGATTTTTACACTGTTCATATCAATTGGTGCCTTATCCAGTAAGTATGCATGGTATCAAGGTCGCAACAGAAATAGTAGATAAAACATAATTAAGGAGCTTGTAGTAAAGACCTGAACAACAACCTAATAAGGTCTCTGTCTGTCTGTCTGTCTGTCTGTCTGTCTGTCTGTCTGTCTGTCTGTCTGTCTGTCTGTCTGTCTGTCTCTCTCTCTCTCTCTCTCTCTCTCTCTCTCTCTCTCTCTCTCTCTCTCTCTCTCTCTCTCTCTCTCTCTCTCTCATATATGATTTTAGCATATCAATATATATAACTTATTATGTGACGTTTGCTATCTGATCAGTTGTAACTGTTTGCTTGATTCAATTTCAATAATTTGTGCCCGATCCCTTTGTTTCAATTAAATATGTTTAAAGGGTGATGATTTTTTCTTCATACGATTTAAAGTAAATTAAATTTCGTTAATTTGCGTGCTCGGGGTGTTAAATCTACAGTCAGTAACACATTTTCTTACAAAAGGAATCTAATGCTACTTGTCTTCATGAAAATGTTTAGTTTTTGGCATATTTGAGTATCGGCGAGCTACTTCACAACGGTGGGATAAGGTTTATTTATTTTATAAATATATAAGAGTACAGCTAAGTATATGGTCAGGCACATGTAGATCTATAAGATACAGACTGAATAGTTTGATACCCTCGTAATTTGAAGTGTTTTGTTTCCACAGTACCGCACGTGATCATATACATTATATATGTAAGAAGTGTCTAACCGCAATGGAATATCTAAAATATCGTACAGTCAGAACGGAAAGTTTATTTTCATTTCTTCTGTATTTCTCTCATTCCATCATTCTCTAAACAAAAATATAAACTTAAAATTGACTTATTGGCTGCAGTTTATGAATATAAGTAATAAATCTTAATGAGAAATAAAATGTACGAGTTCAATAAATTCGAGATTTGCTCTATACTATGTATTTGTATTGGACAGAAGCATTGCCAAAAAAATGTCTTTTAAAAATGCTGTGGTTAATCAATTTCTGACGGTAGATGTTGTTGATCCCGTCCGATGCGAATCCTTGATCAAGATTTTCAGTTGTTAATCTTCAAATTTTAATTGCTACAATAATCATCAATTTTTCTATTCAAATGTATTTTGAAATTCTAGATCTTCTTACAGTTTTATGTTTTAACCAAAGTCAGGAATGTCAGATAATCTCTTCGTATATTGACTGTAGTATTGCGTGAAATCATATAGGACATAGAGTCGGACGATAAAAAATTAGCCTACTAAAGCGATGACTATAGTTCACACCTGTCCAGGTAAATTACAGGTGTTAGCAGGGTTTTACTGGCACGTCCTTCGAAATAACAGACCATATGCACTCATACAATAAAATATGATGTTTTCATTCATAAGATATTGTTAACTTGAACTGATGCTATCAGGGATTTAAATTAAAAATGAGTCCGATATGTACCGTACTATTACGAACTAGCAGATCTGTGTCCTATATGTAGGCTACAACAGATACCTCTATAACCATGGCTGCGCTCTGATAAAATCACTCATCCATGACTGACCCCATTCTGCTTGTGCGCTCTCGTGCCTATGGCTCGGCAAGTGCTAAGGGGACATAACCCATGGTATGCCGTAGAAATAAATATAGTTACAACTGACCCCAATAGCTTCAAAATCTCACCATATTTTAGCTTTTTCATGAAAATATTGCTACGAAATTTGTTATTTCAATCAAGAATACCTCTCGACGGGTTGGATCTATTAGTTACATTGAAATTTAAGCGAAAATGTGTACCATGTATGCAAATAAGTGTTTACCCACACAGGCGAGTTTATGGTCGATATATAAGAAATATACAAAAGGGTGGATGGTGGGAGTGTCCTAGTCCCGGTTTTTCACCGAACCAGGCCCGTTAAGCTAAATAAGAAAAATAGTGAATCGTCTGCGCGCCTCTACTCCAAAAGTAAGCCTTCAAACGTCACTATGTAAAAAGCTTGGACACAGTAGAGTCAAAAAATCAATTAAACTGCACCTTACATACTTATTCCTATCATCAGTAATATTAAAAGGCTAAAAGAGGCGACAAATACAAAGTGATCGAAAGACACTGGACGATTGTCCCTTATGTTAAAACATAGTGTAAATTCTATTAGCGTCAGTAATAACTATAAGAGACAAACAGGGTTCTACTTTCTATTTTGAAAGAGACATTGACATTTCAAACTCTACAATTAATAGGTCTAGAAACAATAACGTTACGTTAGCACAGTGGTAAGATCCCTACTCGCAGCTGCAAAGTTCTTTGATCGAATGGTTCTGTCGGTTTTTTTCACATTATTTTTTTTTCTGTTTATTGTTTGAGATGTGAAATGAAGTGTAAATATCAAGCTAATAATTCTTACATCGTCTCCAATCACGAAAACGTCAGTGTGTATCTCTCTCTCTCTCTCTCTCTCTCTCTCTCTCTCTCTCTCTCTCTCTCTCTCTCTCTCTCTCTCTCTCTCTCTCTCTCTCTCTCTCTCTCTCTCTCTCTCTCTCTCTCTCTCTCTCTCTCTCTCTCTCTCTCTCTCTCTCTCTCTCTCTCTCTCTCTCTCTGTGGAGGACTTGCTTGTAAATATATATGTACCTTGCAAGTATACCCGCAGAATCCTTTCGATTGTTCGTTCATTCTTTGCCCTCGTTATATCGCATTTTTATTAAGATTTGTTGATATGTCGCTATTTTCTTGTCATTACTCAAATGGTTTGTGCAACTAAAATAATAAATTTCGGCATATCTTCTGAATCTGGAAACTGTCTCAATATCTTATCCATAATTAATAGTATAATCCGGTCCTTACACCCCCTCCCGCAAATATGCAAACGAAAACATTGAAGTTGCCTAATTCCTGATTCTTTACAAATACATTTGAAAGGAACTAGACTGTTTACAGAGTATACCACTGTGCTACAGAAGCTTCTTACACATCCCGTCTGTCCACGTGAATTATCACGTATTCGAGGTACTGTGAGTGTGGCCATAAACTACTCAAACACAACGAAACCAGCGAATGAAACAGCCTTCTTGTGTGAAATACAATTCTAGAGCGCTATGACGTCTATAATGCCTATGTGCCGTCTTGGCAATAATCCCCATAACTTGACGCTAATCCGCATATCAATCTCTTTTAGGAAGTGGTTACTGAGGTCCAAAACGGCCGGAAATCCCTACTCTGCTAAATCATTCTAAACCACTGAGGCTATGCTTGAAATGGACCTGGCTTCATTAGCTGTAGCGATGTTTTAGATATACGAACATTTGCAATTGATTTCTAATTTGTCTTTATAAGCTATGACCATGAGCACCAGGAAAGGGTGTAAACAGATTGACTGTGGCCAAGCCAAAGTATGTGAAATGTCGAAATGTGCGTTATAGTAACAGATAATTTCCAAACTATAAATCTACAGTCACACACATGTATAATAGTAGGTTGTTCGAAGCATCGGGGATATACTGTTTTTTTCATATTTGCTCAAGCTACGCTCATAATTTTGTGCATGCATGTGTTTTTCTCCAATGAAAATTATCAAAAGGTAATAAAATGATATTTCAGCTACCTCCTGCAAAAAGCAAGCTCCTAAAAATGTCGGTTTTTACAGTAGTTCATGGTTATCATAAAAGTACATTTATAGATCGAAGATGAAAAAGTCTAATATTTTACAACAATGAATATAAACATTCATCGACATAAAAACAACAACTGTATTCTGTTATTTCATCCGTATGTATGGCAATGCATATTTCAACATGACTCAATTTACAACGATTTTATCTTTGATTTATGGATGTTGTCATCGAAAACCCGATAATTATGAACTATGTATAAAACACAACATGAACACGCCAAACTTGTTAACATAATCACAAGCCAAATTCAAATTCTATAAAACTGGGGGAAAATAAGAACAAAAGAAATAGTCAAAAATACAATGTTTGACAATACCTACGATGTAAATTTTGGTCAAACGAACTTATTAATGTTACGTTCTCAAATTAGAACAAGGTACAAACGAGCATCAAACACATTTAGCTTCTTATTGCACAAAGAAATGGAACATTTCTTAATGAGATCACTATGCCAACAGTAAAACTTTCGCATATTTTCTACCAACCTACTGTAATTTGAAACCCAGTGTTACGAGCTTGTCCGTCAATTGACTTCTTGCACGATAATCTCTATACTGGAAACAGCCTTGAATATTGAATCAAGTGCCACATGTAAGCACCATAAATTGTTGATGCAAGAATGTTGCTATCCAAAAATGGAAAATTCACAAAAAGATATTTAAATCATCACGCTTACCATACACTTTGTAGAAAGCTGTCCATGTTGGTTTCAACGTAAGAAAAGATCGAGATAAGAGACTGATACATTGCAATGCAACTGTCGAGTTAGATCTAGTAGAGCCAACATTACAATAAGCTGTTTTGTCCTATCGGGCTTCTTCAGTGATGCTAAGAGCCTATATTTTGAAGCCTACGTGTAGACTGGGGAAAATCCATCTTGGGAAAAAAAGAAAAGTCGAAATCTGGATAGGAGGGTGCACAAGTCCCATATTCAAATAAGTTACCTTAACTAATTTCTTTATATCGTATATTCAAGAACAACGCCAAATACATGTGTATATCAAATGCTTCCTACGCAAACCTTAATGTTCCTTTTAAATAGGTAAAAGTGAACATGAATTGGCCAATGAAAAGAGTGGTACAGTTATTCCAATAGAGAATGATCTTCAAGATTTTAAAAGTGGTTCTATTATGATACTTTACTTATTTACAGGAAAAAGACTTTAAAATAAGAGAGCTACATCTACAACAATCACAAGTAAAATAGCAGACTTTAACAAAGAATAGAAAACACGCTAAAGATACAGATAGACAAAGTTGATACAAAGAGAATATGCAAAATATGCAGAAATAGCGGTAAAGTTAATATATAGTGTAAAATTTGACCGAATAATCACTAATACCTAGCGTGTGGAGTATGAGAAAGACGAAGATATCAACACAGCACCGTTTAATGGAGAAGGCAGTCTAATTAGAACAAAATAAACCTTCTTATTGTAGTGTGTTATTGAATACCATAATACGGATGTCTAAAGCCATTCGGTTCGTGTGCGCTTAGGAACCTGCAGGCATTCACAAACAAAAAATATCATAAATATAAATATATATATCATAAATCAACAAGATCAGACTTAAAGTCGATGAGAAGAATGCAAAATAGGAACGAAAAAAACCAGTTAAAGTCCAGGTATTAAGGAAGTTTAAGCGTCCTTTTGCTTCATCGATGTTGTTTTATCCATATCAGCAATGACATGTTTCTCAATTAGAACAACGCTAACAACAAAGGACCCCTGTCATATGGACACAAGGAAATAAAATATTGATACAAACTTTTGTGTTTTCCAGTGGCTATGAATGCAGAAATGCGGTTTAAGTATGTGGAACTGATGTACGAAAGGATGTCTTTGACACCTCGTGAAAAGACTCGACTATCCACGATGAATAAGTCAGCGTTGTATCTCAGTCTAGCTGCTGCCTTCGGCCTCCTGATAGTGGCGAGCTTCCAGGTAACTTTATCATAATCCCGATTAAGATTCAGACACTGGGGTATTTTTGCTGCATTTTAGAATATTTGTTTACTGAAGCGATGTAATGAAATATTGTTTAAGTATATGTTCAGGTACAAATCTAAAACTGGAGTCAAGTCGCAGCTGGGCAATTATATGATTCAATCCAGAATTTTGCAGGTAGACAGGTCAATTTTTTATAGGTAGACAAAACTCACACTTATCGAATTGTTTCGTAATGTCAGGGTCACTGCCTGTGTCGTTAGTCTTTAGTCGTAAATTGTCTAGCACGTCTAGAGCTATAAAAAATGTAAAGTTGCAAAATCAGGTAATTTGCCTGTCTCTGCTTTCACCTGGTCGAGAAAGGTCGTTTTTGTTAACCTTTTGTAAGTAGAACAGTTGGTCCAGAAGAATCACATGTTTGACAACACATACAGATAGGTAAACTGTTATTGAGTAATATAATTAGAACTTATTTAATTAAGACTCTCAATTTGTCGGATTCGGTACCGAACGCTAAATGAAGGAAATGTCGTTAGCATTTAGGATTTGGCTGTCTCGGAAATACACAGACATATTAGCCACTGATCCGGAAACTAGAGTCCATCATATCTACGAATCATGCACGGATTAACTTGCAAGAGGTTGACAGAAAGTTTCTGTTTTATCAGTCCTTAGCCGCATCATTAAATAGACACATGTACTTTGTAACACGCACATATCAAAAGGTATTGATTTGTGTAATTCTAAATGAAAGAGCTTTATGCGTTTTTTATTTATCTAAGCATGATCTATCTGATATTTTATTGTCTGTCTCATAAAAACATAGGTACATGTTTACTTCATCTTCTCGACAATTTATTTTTACAAGGATTGCTAATAGAACCTCCAATAAATAAATATTTTTATCAAATAAATATTAGAATTTATAATAAAATTAATTGCCACATCATGAGGACTACCTATCAAGGACTGGTCAAGGGTTTATTTTTGACTCAAGGAAGGGTTTCAGACAGCACCAGAATGTTTTGTTTTCTTTTGTTCAGGTGGTGCTAGAGTTTAGTATTATTAAGTGGTCCCTAACAATATATGAGCTTCCCTGTACAAAACTCAAATGTTTCATTTACATTCAAACTATGCAAAAGTAAGAAGAAAAAAAATAATAATAAAACCTACATCTAAAAGTGCTTGGTAGGAATTTTTTGATCAGTAATCATTACCTTTAGATATTATAACTTTATTTCATTGTTGACAACTTAGTTATTACCACATCTTGAGCCTGCTACGCATGCGCAATGCAATATTGAACCCGCATATCGCCAAGATATGCGTTATTGTAACGCGCTTGACCACACTCAAAGGCGTTTAGATAAAATGTTCTGACGGAAATACCACAAAAATAATATCCAAGCTACAAAACACGTCTTTCGGAGATCAATACCTATATATCTCTATACTATACATGAACTGTGTTACCAAAATCCTGAGGACAGATGGCGTTTCCATGACAACATAAGATATAAAATCATAAAAGGATGTCGTTTAATTTGTTTCTTATAATCCTGTTCATTCAGTCGGTGACGGGGAATCCACATCGTAATCAAAGAATGGATCTGCTAGCTGTAGAATACGTTAGTGCTTAAGTCTGTGAAATGCGATCAAGATTCTGCTATTGCCTCGTGTTGATATCTATATAGTGAACGAGGAAGTGTTTGTGTATTAAGCAGCACAAGAGGAAGCAGAATGCATAGGGTAATGATGGCTTGAAACAACAGGACAGAAAGAAAATGAAAATGAAAAAATAAAGGGATATGTTAGGGTCATTCAACATATTTTGATGTTTTGATTTGATACCTGATATTGACACAGAACGAATGTAGTGGCAAAATGTTTTATACGAAATCTTACATTTTCTGTAACAAAATTTTTCATAATCTGTAACAAAAACTTCCAATACATATTAAAAACGTTATATTTTAATGTATTTTTATACATACACCTTTGTGTTGTGACTAGTATGTTGTCAAATCAATTTGAATTCGTCATAATGCTGCTCCAAACCTCAAAGGGAAGCAAGTCTCTAGTAAGACAAAAATGTATTTTAATCCAGAATACACATTCAAGTCGTAAGAAGAGCCTTTTATATGCCATTGTCTGCTGTATTAAATATCTGCTACACTTCCTTTATTCATACATATTTGCCTTAAATTAATGAAGGATCTTGCAATTTTTGCACTTTTGATTAAGAGCGTAAGGACTAAGAAGATACTTTGTGAGTTGTGTTCAATTAAAAGTTTTATGAATCTTGATGTGGCATTTAAATTAAAAAAATGCAAATTTCAAAACTGAAAGGATTTTGTTTATTAAATAATGATCGTTGTAAGACCTGATTGAAATAAAAATGAATTGTTCTGTCAATCAGATAATAAATAGCTGTTGTAAATATCCGAAATAACAGATGTTTTGTTATGCTTATCATTACAAAACATAACCATATATATTTTCAATTATATAACCAGTTAAAGTTAGTAGTTCAACATGTGATTCACTTGAGCCGAGCTGAGTTTACCTCGCAGTATGACTCGGCCACTACTTCAAATTTTCTTGATGTAGGTTATGGCTAACATTGGGAGGACATAACAAGGCCCACGAATGGTTCAGGTTAACCAATTCTTGTAACAGGCGGTGGGGGAATTGTAGAGTTTTGTCGTGTGATGTCAATTTTATCGCAAGATCTACTGAAATCGTTATGTTATAATTGAAATAGTGGATAACTTTTTGGGAAATACAAGTTGTATGTTCATGGTTGAAGATAAATCAGCTTCCCTGATGAGCTCAGTTGTCCGTTACTGACCAGTCGTAATGAATTGCTTTTTAGGAGTGGCATTTTCAGTCAAAGTGACAAATGATGCCACGATTTCTGAGACGGCAATTATATCGATCATTAGGAGAACATTATGATCATACTTTGTAAATGTAACTGTGCAAAGCCAACCTTCTGAAACGTTACCATTGATTGGCAATAGTCTTTCTATTTATCATCTAACGTGTACCAATCCTGTTTTGGAAGAAGGGCTCCGTACGGAATTTCCAGGTTTATTTGTACAGGTTGATCTGCATCTTTATATATCTGTCTATCAATGTTTTTGAATCGATACGAACGACGCATTGTCTCAACGAATGCATAAATCGGAAAACTCATCGGAAAAAATCGATGATGAACTAAGATAGGTAGATACTGTGGTTAGAATGTTCGAGTAGCTTATATCACAGATCATCATTGACCGTCTGTCATTCCTACCATCAAAACAAGTTGTCCTTCTGCAGTATCTCGACAATAACATTTTTATTTTTCGATAGGGAACGTCTTTTGTGTATCCGTACCGTCGCTGAAAAGGTCAAGGATAAGGTTCCCTGATAAATAAAAGAGAGATGCCATCTTTTATGATAATCCTAGATGTTTGATCTCAGTAATGCTACCCAGTTTATTTACATAATTACTGATGGCGAAGATAGACTTTGTTTCTATTCTGGATCTCTGGTAATGCAGGCAACTGCAGATCGATTTGATAGTGATGATCATTTTCTAATGGCATCGTTATAGTGTATTATTGTATCATTAAAATATGCGGGTCATGAACTAAAGCAGATATGACGAAAATGTCTGGTAAAATGCTTAATCATTACATCACTCCTATAAACCAGATTTAGATATTTAAAATCAGGATGTGAACTATAACATATGTATGTATACCAGATATCTATTGGTTTCTAGTTTATGCAAATATGGGGGTCATAACATACAACACTATGTAATATTAATACCCACTATCAAAGTAAATAACATTTTTCTAAAGGGATGCATTTAAGGTGCACAACATTAATCAAATAGAATATGGGAACATTTTTCTTGGGGTTGGTTTATGAAATAAAAATAAAGTTTTGAGTGTTACGTTACGATGACTACAGGGACACCTGCATCAGACAAATGACCAGTGTGAAGAGTGCTAGCACTGGCGTACGTAGTGTACGAGATGACAGGGAGTCGACCAACTTTTTCTTCTCGGCTGTAATCTGGAAACACCACAGTACTAAGCAGGAAAAGGAGGTGGTGGTGGTGGGGGGCACAGAAACTATGACCAAGTGTTTAACACAGCGTAAGCGTAACCGAATTGACTACAGATTTTTTTTTATCATCTTGTGTATTTTTGTTTATAATCTGTTTACCATCGCGTTACCTGGGTCTACATAGGATTATAGTACAGTCGATTCCTTACCTTCTCTTACACAACATACGCCTGTGGTTGTATGCTTCAAAGTGGTTATTGTGAGATGATGGTGACTGTGTAGCCATCAAAACGTCACACTCAAATCCTCAACTGCTTGTTTCATAAGAATTACTTTTCTTCCAAAATTATCTCGTTTGTACAAAATCGAATATTTCTTGTAATTTCATTTGTCTAAAATCTCGATTCCATCTTTTATAATTATGGATTCATTTTTCATTTCTACGCATATTGAAACGTAACAACATAAATCTTTCTATATCTGATTAAAATCCGCTCAGTTTTAGATACTTGAAACATTTTAGAAAGATTGAAATTAGCACCGAATCAAAATTCATGACTAGGTAAATAAGTGACAAACATTGGCATCCGCGGCTCAATATAAAGATGAAGGAATCGGTAATGGTGTTGTTTGTGTTGAAGCGTTTTTTTTTTATTCTACCAACGGACCATTAACTATATTAATTTGATCCGTTTCCTTTATTACAACACACGGAATGTTTATTCTTTCCCATGTCCTTTCTTTCTGTGCTTAGTTCTCAAAATCCTCCGTTATATTATTATCCTACAGCGATACATGCAATATAAAAAAACCAAACTAAAATCTAGTTTCTGGTTCATCTAATTGTAAGCTTTATCTATGCACGCAAGTGTATGTTGATCCGGAAAATTATTGAAGAAAATTACGTGCAAACGATATATGTTAAATAATTTTCCTTGAATTAAACTTGTATGATCGTTACAATCTTGATAAATAAGTATCTCATGTTCACCAGTGATCGTTGATATATTAAACTAATACAACCGTTGTGCTTTTCAATCGATATACCAAACTCTACATGACTTTATAAGAGAAATCAGTTCATAAGCCTACAGCAAATTGGAATTTCTTCTCTGTAACAGATTCATAAATATTCAACATTATACCAAGAAAATTATCACTGCATTTTATTAAATCGCACTCCCATATTCACACAGCAACAATTAGAAATTTTGACGTTATTGTAGCGTTCAAAAAGAGGTGTTGTATTCCTCTTCATGTCAGTATTGTCATATTTCACCGCTTTGCGATTGTTTTTCCTGTCTTGCAGGTGGATGCCATGCCGATTCCTCATTACTCGGGAGCGTTTCTCACCTTTCTGCTCGGTGGAATATGTTGCTGGCTGCACGCAATCATTACTTGGAAAATGTACAAAGAAGAAAGGGACAAGGCATTTTTTCTGACATTCATATTTCAAATAATAGTCAGTCTTTTCGTCTCGGTTTTCTTCGTAATGTGTATCCTTTGGAAATTGGCATAATGAAATTACATGATATTTTACATCATAACACCCCTCCCTATAATTCTCTCCACGCATATATTTCAGCTATAATAGTATTACCGTTTATCGCGCTGAAGGTATTGCGTTACAATATGATTGCACAAATTATAGTTTCTGTTAATATAGCAGTTATAGTGAAAGCACGAATTGGTCTTTGCAGTAAGGATCTAACAAAAAGGCACGCGGGTGATTATCACAGCAACATTTTGTTCTGTTGTTTCTTCACATGTAGTATTTACAAAACTGTGGATTTATATGTGTATTAAGAGAATTACAAATGTGTCAGTCCCGACTTTTACCGAAAAAGATGTTAAATTATTTCTCTCTCTCCTCCAAATTTTCCTTTGTGTATGAAACATTTGGGAATCTTTTTTACTGCATTTCCAACAGTGTTCATTTCGTAATCAAACTATCAACGGTAAAATGTTATTGGATTTTATTCTAAAAATCATATATGCGTAGTGCCAACGGAAGATTCGACAGAGGAATGATATCGTGAAGTTACTGAAAGCCCTATGTTTTTTTGTGAGATTAGAAGTAATAAATTTAAATAAAATTCTCAGTTATCTTAGCTGTAAAACAAGTCATCCTACTTTTGTTGACGTTAATTTCAATATATTTACCCAATGCTGTCTCAGCCCTTCGCTGTTGGTAAACAAACCATTGAACATTACGTTAGATGATTTACACAATTCGGTAGATGTATACTTTCAAATGATCCATGACCAAGACCATATTTAATACATCAGAGCTATCGAAATAGAAAAAATCTTAACAAGACATTAAAGATGGTTCTTCAAAGGGAAAAACAATGGTTAATTTGATTTCATTTCTTACTTAATTGTTTTGCATACGAATCTCCCTTTGTGCACTGCTATGTTGCTAAGCGCGATTTCATTATCAGATCATTGATCTTCTCAACCAGCCTTCGGCTATGGATCTTTAGTGCATCTATATTTTTTCTCGGATGCGTTTTAGTTCTCTGGTTGGGAATTCACTCGTTTTCGATTATGTTATTTCGTTTTCTAATGTGATAACGTTACTGAAATGATTTTGACCTCTAGAATAGATTTCCTTCCTTGATCAACAACACGTCTATCTGCTTCGTGTTAATTATACTGGTAAATAGATTTTACTTCAATTTTACTTTGTATCGATAGCGGTAGTGAGGCTTGCGCAACTGTACGAATATTGGCTTATCGATTTTGAAATTCTATCACAATAGCCGACAATACCAGAATGCAGATGGCGAAATGATAGCAATGCACTTTTTCGTTAAATTTTGTTAAATTGTTCTTTTACTTGCTTTTTAGTATGATTATATAACTTTCGTCAATATACATTGCATCCTTTTACTATGGGTATCTGATTGCGCTGTGTCGGAATGATATCAAAACAGGTGAATATTTGCATTCCTTTCATAAAGGTTGAACTGCCATTAATTAAAAACAAATCCTCCAAAATATTATTACAAAATTACAACACGTGGACTCTAATATTAAAATGAACGTACCAAAATATGATGGCAAATAGACTTAAACATAGTGATCTTTGCATGTTAGTTAATGTATTATATTTGCATGAATGAAAATATTCGAACCCTTGACGATCAAAAGTCAGTGTTTCCCTCGGCCATTATCGACAACAGAGAGACGCCGGACACGGAACAAAAGAGGTACGTGCTTAAATATTTTCTTTTTTTTTTGGTACAAGTAAATTCTACTTTCAATATCGCTTGTAATTGAACTTCGGTAAGATACAATTGAATATAACTACACTGAGGAAGACACAGATTGCCAGATGGCTTCAGCATTGAAGGCAGATATTCTTGTTTTGAACATGGTGATTCCTCTTACTGATTACACGTATGATAGAAGATGATGAAGTGATGTTTCAAGTAACGTAAAGTATCATGCCTGTACTGTACTATTTTGGATGATCAGATATACCGATAGGTGTTGATAAAGTATTATCTAAGTGTTGATATGAATATCAAAATTAATAAATTGTAAAATTGTAAATTTCAACCGCTTTTTTCTCCGGTTTAATGATACCTGGATGATTTGATGTTTGGTCTCAGACTTGTCTAACAGTTATTTTGTAATTCATCTGTGGGAGTAATAACTCTTATGACTTATGACAACAACAGCTTAGAAGAACAACTGTTTAAATGTGTGGAATGTTTTACATTGCTGATATTTATCAAATAGTTTGACCAACCGGAGGTAAGAAGTAAACTAGGCTGCATGTTATTCACTTTCATTAGTTCATCAGCTGTGGCAATGTCCTTTTCTACTTTCGTTTCTTCCCGATGTTCCCAGTAGATTCCATTTTATTTTTTCTCGCACTATGTTCTGTCAGATTTTTTTTACCCTATCATCAAAAGAAAATATTTTGTGGGATGAATGTATCTTTTAGGAGGCAGCTTTCTGAAGAATATGTTCATCCGCGAAATAAAACAGGTTCATCTACAGCGGTTCACATGTAATTAACTAGAAGTCTATGCTGCTTATCATGCGCGGAAAATAACCGGAGTGCCCTATGATTAGCTAATCTAATCTCAAAGACTGCTCTAACATATTGAAACGTCAGTAAAGACATAATGATATTATTACACCAAAACGTTTCATTCGTGGTCTAAAACAACAATATATTGATTTAAAAAAACACTATTTTTCCGTTTTAGATAATGAACAGGATTCTTATATTTCTTGATTAAAATTCGGAAAATAACTTTCGCAAATAAAAGAGCAAGATTGATTTCACGAGAGCAACCTCAAAACGTCAATCAAAGTGGGTGCGTTGTGAATAAAATAAGAGCAACATCTCCCCAGACCTTGCTTCGTCTAACTTTACCGTTATTACGAACCACCGGATCACACCAAAATGTGTACGCTGAATAGATTATTTCTCCAGTTTTATGTATGGAAAGTTGGACTCTGATGAATGGAACATAAATAACCGAGGTTTAATCATCTTAATATACCTCATTGCAAAGGATTTCTGCCGAAATAAAGAATATAAATATAAATCGAAATACGTACAAAATAAACAGTTATGAATTATAGTTCCAGTCAGGGCTACCAACGTAATGCTTTGTCACGTGATATTGTCATAGCAGTTGATGTTCCTGTCTGCTGTAATACATATCACGTGTATTCTATGTTATCTTTAATTTGCCACTTTTAGTTTAGATATAAATGTAATAGGAACCATGTTTTGTAGCATTTCTATCATTTGCCCTTTTAATTGCCCCTTTTTGACTTTGTCCTGAGATTGCACGATGTATTAAAACATGTATCAAGAAACTGCCTTCCCCACCTATTATTTAGAAGAAAGACCAGAAAGTTCGATCTTTGTAATAAACAAGCGCATAGTAAGAAGAAAAAGACCAACACAAAATGAAAAGTCTCCATATCAAATTGGAGGCTAAATTCTACCAGCTTCCTATAGGACAGACATTTCCTTAACTCAATGGAGTCGTGATAACGTCAAAGAATGATTTGCTTTTGTTTTTTATCAACATATAATTTCATCTTATTTTGAACGAGTGTTCCATAAACATGGTGTTAAGTCAGTCTCCAATACTTGGGCTGTTGTATTCCGTTCTTTGCTATGTGGTCTTTCTGGACTCACTCACTTATTCATTTGACCTTGGCTGTTGCTGACGTAAACCCTATGCAAACAATCGTATGTTTTCAATCTTGTCAACAGCTACTGTAACAAGGTGTATTTTGTGGTATGCAAAGTTGTATCGATCGAGTAACTTTATATAGTATTGATTATGTCAGTAAATAGTCTTCACAACAAGAGGCTTCCTCAAAATTCTTAATCAATCAGATAAAATGAAAAGAAAATTTAACTTATCAAAAACACACCTAAAATATATATAATATATTGTATGATAGAATTCCACAGAAAATCGGACAACCCGTACAAACATGTATATTTGGTATATGATGTACATAATATTATACTTGTGTACACACTGAGATTCTCATCAATACCATTCTACAGTAGTGACAACCATACAATCCCCGGACTTCTGTTCTTAATTAATCAGTACAAATGTGTTTACGTGGGCTATCTGCAGAGAGACATGCCTTGTTGACGTCAATAAGACTTTTTTTTATTACAGAAGATTGCCATTCATTGCCTAAAGAAGATAATCAATACTTGATAGAATGTAAAGTTCTCCAAAGTCTTCTATCTCATCTCTTTGGCTCTAGGTGTTGGCCACAACAGTGGCTTGAACATTTCCATGTTTTACTCATTATCGCCTGATGGCACACTTGATGCACTTTAGCTATCCGCGTCTAAAATTCCTCGCAGTGTCTGTTTGATGAACTACTTGAAGCACTAGTTAAATCTGTTGTGCTCCTTGTATGTTCTTTCTTTTTCGAACATTGGGGTTAAGGATATGCTAAAGGTCGGTAAGCTTTATCCCCAAGCCGTGACATACTAGAAACAACACTTTGTGTTCCTCACTAAAATGTAACACTTTAAAAGCGCCTGTCAGTGGCCCCACACAAATCTTCATATGAACAACAACCATTTTTGAAGTAAACGCAGAAAAAACTCTTTAGCTATGATGTGTAACGGTCGAATAGGGGCTATTTACGTTTACAATAATTTCTATTTTCTTAAAAGGGTTTGCGTGTTAACGCCGTGCATCTTTTGGGTATACGTCAAGTTACTTATGAGTTGTGTATATTATCAGAATGACACAGTGTAACTGGCATGTAATACTTCATATTCCGCCGTCTGATTAATGGTGACAGCGATACATAGATGCAGTTTCATTGTTTATTAATCCATTACCGCATCAATGACGTCGATTTATGATTAATTCATAATTCACTTGTTAGAATGACTGCTCTCCGGGGCTTTTTTCTGGTGATTTTTTTTTTCAGATTCCATCCATATTTTCAATTGTGTGTAATTCTATCCTCTGTTCATATGTTGCCAGTTTGATTGATTTTCAGTTCAACCAGTACAGGTTGTATTTGCATATCTGTAGTCACCTGCATTTGTATGAGTACCAGTTGTTCATGTCATTGATTGAATTGTGAACATTCTCTCAGAATCAAATTGGTATATTTACACGCTAATCTAGTTTCATCAAACGTATAGAATCTCTGCATCACCACTCATTACAGGGATAACTTGAATATTTAAAACGCATGGAAATAATCACCTAAAGGGTGATATTTTTATCTATTTCACTGATAACTCCATTACATATCATAACAATGATTATTTTAAGAACGCATAAATCGTAGAGAATGAAACCCTATTGTATTGCAGAAAAAGACACGTAGTTTCATCATCAAGTATCAAGTCCGTAAAAAGTCATTATTTCCCCTTAAGAAACAAAACATATACTAGTACCATTTATTCTGTTTGATGCAGCATTAGAGCACCTGTAATTGCACTCAGTATATCACTTTCCATTACAGGGTGCTCTTCGTCCCATCTTTTTAACGGCCGCATTTTCAGAATGGTTTCTAGCTCTGACAGTGGTGGCATATATTCTAACTTTTGTTCCCGGCTTCAGAACAATCGATTACGATGGTGGGGTCGTCAAATGGAAAGCACCTGTTAGTAGCAGCGTGGTAAGGCGTTACTCTACATAGTTTATATTTGATGTTGGGATTGTACGCCAATTTAATATTTAATATCAACTTCTGAAGTTAAAAAGCACATAATTATTTACATTTACTTTATATGACGTCATTACATGAAACCACGTCAAATCGGGATTATGTTGCCGGTAATTTGTATTTGGGGAATGTTTGATGTTCTAGGAAAAGATATTTCATTGAATCAGGAAAAATCTAAAAAAAAAAAAAAAGTGAGAAATTCGTTAGACTGAAAGCGTTTTATTAGTACAACACAACATGGAAAGAAAGGAAAACAATAATTACAATGTAAATATTAATATCTTTACGAATGAAAATGAGTGCCATTCTATCATTTCAGAGTACGTGCACAAAGATGATGCGGTGCTGTTCATAAAGTTTCGGTAATGAAAGGCTGACGTCACTTGGTGTAGACTTGGTGTGTGTGAAACAGAAACGAGGGTTGTCTCTGAGAGTTTGTGTGAACAGAACTTTTTGTTGCCATGTGATCTTTTGGAAAAAAAAATTAACTCTTGATTAATGATATATAGATATCAATGTAAAAATGTATTATAGAAAATAATTTTTGCAGACATGTCTAGCCCGTTATTAAGTCCTTTTATCGTTACTCCTTGTTCCAACATGAAATTTCGTTACTCGCATAGGGAGGTTATATCAACCTATACACATTTATATTAGTAATATGTCACATTGCATGTTTTGTCCTTGACTTAATGGTATATTCATGACCCATTATTTGAACACTGATAATTACTTTTCAACATAGGGTGATCATTTTTGCTAGTGCTAATTTTGTAGTAGAAATGTTCGTCTATATGCATATTTCATCATAAGTATATATAAGTATGTTATTTAATGAACCTGAAAGTATGTACTGGTTCAATTTGCATTCAAGTTGTAAAAACGGTATATTTGTATTCCTGGAATATCTGTATTTGCGGATTATGACCAATAAATAGCCAACCAAGAGTCACCCTGTACATCATGTTCAATAACTTTTCTCGTTGATTTTGTTGTATACATTTGATATATTTAACACTGTAAAGACTGAACATGCTTTAATGAGTATGTAAGATTGTTGTTTATCAACGCGATATGATTAAATATCGTAATGCTTTTATCATTTAAAAGAATTTCATTATTTTAATATAAAGTTATTATATGTATACTTATACTACATAGTGTAACTTTTCTATATCAGCTGCGGCCACTTTCCAACTCAAAAGGTCACAAAAATTATCCAAAATTTCGAATTTACCGGTTCAAACTACGTATAATAATGTGTACATATAGGTAGGATTCTGATCTACTGCTGTTTAGCATTATGTTACATTTCAGTTTGGAATATGAATCTGTTGACATGCTGTTAGTTTCTTATTGTTTCAACCACAGAATATTCTTCTTATGCAGTAAACCTATATTTCTGAAAAAGAAAATGAAATAAAAGGCGATGTCTTGAGAAGAGCCTTCTAGATATAATTGGTGTGTTAAGCTTTCTTTATCATTGCTACGCCGCTTGAGACGTAGCATTTTGTTCCATAAACAATATACGCCATCTTGCTGGTTAGTCATGGTGTCAGAACAATCAGTTTTACAAGCATTCCCTGTTGAATTAAAAATAGACAATCCACGGAAATAGACATTAACAATTTCATATTACGACACCCTCTTCCAGATAAGTCATGGTGTTACAGCGATTGCATCGATCGAAATATCAGTGTATGACAAGCGTTCATAGTCAAACTAACATAAAAAAAATAATTTTGGAATAGACCTTCAGATTTTTCGGATTGATCTTACTCTGAATTATTCAATAAAATCCGATATTTCCCAACTGACATTGATAATCATAAATAAGCTTAACTCTTAGACATGTTACGACGGTTTCGAATTCTGGTCGTCGGTGACATTTAGAAATAGTGTACATAGCGTGTAACCATTATACTGTGGATCAGTCCATGACAATGAGCATGTTGCAAACCAGATATGCTAAAGGAGTCATGCAGAGAATACTTACAGTAGCTCAGCTTTGGAATCGTATGATTGTTGACTTTAGCTGTCCTTACGTCAATGAGTGACGATGTTACGTAGCCACTTATAGCTTTTTTAGGAAGTTTATCCTTGAATGGAGGGACGGTTATGCTGTTTTCAACTAATTAATACCCTGCTGATCTACTCTTTATACTATGTTATACGCAATGAACATTTTACTCAAGAATGTTACAATATATCCCAGGTTTAAACAATATTATACTCTACAACTTTGGTTATTATGATATGGTATTTTGACTTGTTGGTTTATACAATATTCTACTATAAGTTACATATGTAATCCTACTCACAGGTCATTGATATAAGGGATAAACCACACGTGGTATAACACCTGGACGCTTTACAGCAATTTAAGCGCAGAATAAAATAATTCTATATTGCTCTTCTTGTTATGATCTATTTTTTTTTATACATTTTTCTACCATAAAATCGACTTGATCTATTATATTTGTTAATTTCTTGTTTATAACATAACATTTCTAAAAAAAATCTGGAGTTGTCATTTTTTTTATAGTAATCAAATTTTACTTCAGGTCAAATTTTTGCGCTGCAACCTAAGTTCGTTAACAAAGTCATTCGTTTCCGTGTGTAGAATGATTTTTTTACTTGTAGTAGAAACCGGTCACACAAACTCATGGTTGTTGTTTATGGTATCTATATCACTGTCGATAGTTATTTTTCAAAAGTTACAAAAAAACTCGCTAAAGCTTGTGTTTTTGTAACTTTTGAAAAATAACTAACCAGAGTGAAATAAATAACAATAACAACAACCACTCATTGTACAACCTCCATTTATACCGTAAATACAGTGTTTAAACTGTGTAGGTGGTTTATATAAAATATTATACTCTTACAAACAATATTACACTCAACATAATTTGTATATACATTATCATTTACACATACCTAGTTTCAACAATATCATAGTGTATATAATTGGTTTAAACGAAATTAATTCTCTTTATACTTATATACATCTCTTTGTGCAATGTTATATTCCACAAAACTAGTTTAAACGATATTATACTGTATATATCATAAATAACTGATTTAATCAATATCCTAGTCTGGGAAGTTGGTTTATATACAATATAATACTTTAACAAACATTGTTTAAACAATATCATACACCACATAACTGGTTTAAACAATAGTATACTTTGTGTGGTTGGTTTATATACTATATTATACTCTGACAACATTGTTTATACACTATAATACTCTTCATACTTGGTTTTTACAATATTATACTCTGACAACATTGTTTATACACTATAATACTCTACATACATTGTTTAAACAATATAATACTCTTCATACCTGTTTTATACAATATTATACTCTGACAAACATTGTTCAAACGACATTTCACTCCACATACCTGGTTGAAACAATATTATATTCTATATATCATACATACGTGGTTTAAACAATATAATACTATGTGTAGTTGATTTATCTACAATATTATACTCTAACAAACATTATTTAAACGATATTATACTCTACATATCTCGTTTAAACAATATTATACTCTATATACCTGGTTTAAACAATGTTATACTCTGTTTAGTTGCTTTATACAATATTATACCGTTAATACCTGGTTAAAGCTATACAGTGTTAAATTTATATACTGGCTCTATAAATATTATACCGTATACATCTGGTTTATTATTAATTGAGGAGTTATTAATCCGTTTATGTTAGAAATGTTATACTGTATATTATAGGTAATTGTCAATGCACCTTTCTATCATTTCTTTTGTATACTGTATATACAAGATGTCGTGCTGAGTAAGCATCATTTGTTTGACGTTTTACAAATAGACATGAAGTCATATATGCTGTTGGTGATGCGTTTGAGCTTTGACATAGGATTGACTTGGATCTTTAGATCTCTTTAGATTGGAATCAGAGGACCATGTTAGTTTTAGATTAGTATAGGTAAGGGGAGGTAACTCGATATACTTATGGTTATAATAAAACGCATATTTCCTCATGTAAAAATCATTTTTTATCACCTTATTTTTCATAAATAACACTATGAATGAAATTTTGGTACATATTTGGAACGCAGCTGACTTAGACTTCGTTGGAATCTTTTGAAAACAAAATTTATATTGTGTTATGGTGTATTGAAAAATTTCATAATGGTTAAATATTGTCGAAAACACGCTTATTAGTTTTGTTTTTACAAGTACAGCACTATATATATTCACTTTATTGGCTGGCTGCATTTCTGTTTCATTACCATCCTTCGATAAAATCTTGTGAATTGTTAATTGATATATATATACCCAGTGGTCCCCATGAAGTGTATACCTACATTTACCTTTAATGAATTCTGTCGTTCTATTTCGTTAAACTGAACTGTGAAATGTAAATAATTTAAGATAGCTGCGTACTTGAAAGTTCCATCCGTTCAGGATTCATAACAGGCAGAGAAAAGCAATATTCCTTGACGACTAGTAAAGTGTCGGCCATACTTACAGTGCCTTGCTACTGGATTATGTTACATCGATATATATCTATATATATATATATATATATATATATATTAGACAAGGTTAATATTCAGATATGACAAAGCTGTTGAAATTATGTTGAAGTGATGCTGAGAATATTATATATAAAAAGGTCCTCCTTAGTCTGGTTAATTTAAAAAAAAAAAAAAATATTAACAGCCTGCATAATAGATAGATAGGGGCAGCTGATAAATATTTGGATGATACTTGGTGTAAAGGGCCGTCTTATATAAACAAACATACACACACGATGTATTTATATCAAACGATGTATTAAGATAAATGGTTTGTCATACCACACTAGGTACAAACATTAGGTAGGATAACATCAACATTTACAGAAATATCAATTGCTTGATTTTACATTATACTGTGATACTAACATTTTATACAGCGGTATATAAGTAACTTTACTTTTGTCTGCTATAAAATTGCTACAGTAGAGTCAGTAATGCCGAAAACAGGAATGGTCATGTGAAAGGCATATGTGTCACAGCGGAGTTAATATATATATACATATATTTTTTTTAAACATTTTGAACAAGATTAAGAAAGGTCAGTTCGAGTTAATATACTGCATGATGATTTGTTGACATAAAACAACATTCAGAATAAAGTAAATACAGCTTTAATAACAACGCATCGTCATTTTTTATTGTTGATAATTTAAATCCGGATTTATTCGGTTTGACCTCAAGCAGGTTTAGGATTACTGGAAGAAAATACGTTCCCACTCGAATACTTCTAATAGTTTACCATGGTTGTACTGTAGAGACTTGTGTATCAATATGTCTAACATCCTTACTCAATCCATGATCTATCCAGTATTCTGACATTTGTGTTCAACTTTGTTAATTTTTTTTCTTGAATACAATTCCTATCGAAAATAAAAATTTTGTCAGTACAATGCACTCATCTGTACAGTGTTTAGAATGTTTGTTATTTTGAACGACTTTGTCGGATGTATTTGTGCAATAAAAGATTATAAATATCAAACGCCAAGCAATAAGATATGAAATGAATGGTACGTTGAAAGCACCTGCCGATCATGTATTTGTTGATGTTAGTTAGAACTAACGCTTTAGATGTACTGTAGTTCTCAAAGTCTGTAAACTGTCTATAATGCTTAAAATCAAGCATGAATGTATTGCTGAATATATGAGGAATTTAACGTTTTTAT